GGGGGCTCCCCCAGCTCCGGGGCCCCCACCGCAGGGAGAGGCTGCTCCAGTTGGCTGGAGCAGCCCCTGTTTGCAGCGGGCCCAGAAGGCCCCAGGCAAAGCTTTGTCAGGCCAGGCTGGAGCAGCCCCTGCCTGCAGCATAAGGGCTGCTCCAACCCAGCTGGTTTGAAGCACTCCCCCTCCCCTGCCCTTCCCCTTTAATCTGTTAACCAGTTAAACTTAACATGTCACCTATTAACCAATTAAACAGGATTTTATCTCCCTAGAGTTGACAGAGTTAACCTCCAGCAAAGCTCTCTAGCTGAGGCAGACGGATAACTTAGTTCAGGGCTACTCAACACATCGGCCACATGCGGCCCGTTTGTTTGCGGCCTGCAGTGCAGTTTGGGTTTACGCAGGGCTTAACACGGAGCCTGCAGGTGGGATCCTTTTAACAGGATCTCCACTAGGAACACGCTCCACAGCAGCGACTCAATATAGTGGTCTTCCGTTGAGATGCGTTTCAGTAGTTAAATTCCTGGACTGTCATTGCTCATTATAAGTGCTGTCATGGGGTGGAAATCAGGTAATATTGCATTTTATTAATATCAGTAGGACTGACTTAAATGGGGCCTGTGTGTTGTGTAGTCTTGCCTTAATCTTTATTCATGCCTGTCAGTGTGAAAGAAGCTATAAGTATGTGCAACCACACATAAGTTGTGGCCCTTGGCATGTGCTGTGAGTATCATTGAGGCCCCTGGGGCTTCCAAAGGTAAGTAGCCCTGACCTAGTTGCTTACAGTTTTGGGTACCCTGAGAAAGCATCACCGGGTGCTCAACACTATCTGGAAATCAGGCCTCTTTTGGGTGTGTAGTTGGGCACCCAAAATCAGTAGTTACTTTTGAAAAATCTCTGTTTCCATGTAAACACTTTTGATAATCACTTCCATAACCTGTATTCTTATACTCAGATTGTAAACTGCTTGGGAAGGGGCTGGGGTTTTTTGTTTTTGTTTTTTAAGTTCTTGCATTTGCATGGTACCTGACGCACTCGATTTCTGATCCATAACTGGGAGCACGAGGGGCTTTGCTCATACAAATAATGCTGTTATGTTCATTTAATAGGGTCAGAGGAATATTCATGCTTCACTGTTTCTGGAGCTTCCCTTGGTTTTCTAATGCTAGAGTTCCCAATTTTGCCTGAACCTAGTGCAAAGACAGAACAGAGGTGACTCAGAATTGTGACAGGTATTTAGAAAGGCTGTTCAAAAATCACAGTATTAGGCACCTGTAGGAGTTGCTCTATAGTCAAGCAAACTCCTGTTTCCCTATCCTGCAGAGCTCTGATGGGGCTTATTTTCACAGATATTTAGTGATGCAGTTATGCACCCAGGTGGATTTTTAAAAGGGCCTCCTGTGCAGGGTTGGCACCTGCCTTCCGAAGGGTTAAGTGCCTAATCTGCCCTGATCCTTTTTAAAATCCGACAAGGCACCTACCTGCATGTTTAGGCAACTAACTTTGAAAATCTGGCCTGAAGCCATGTAGGTCGATACGTAATAAAACACTGGCAACTGGCCCATGAAAGCTGATGCGGGCACATGCGGCTCTAGCTATGGGGCTATAAAATTATAGAGTAGACATCCATGACCAGGCTGGATCCCCTGAGAAGAGAAGGTCCCAGATCTTGGGCTCCAGCCCAGGCCTGATTGCACTGTAAGCTTATAGGCCCAGGTAGCCCAAGCCTGATCTATACTGTAATTTTATAGCCCATGCCCAAGTCAGCTGACATGAGCCAGTGGCTGGTATTCTATTGCAGCAGTAATGGACATTTCCTTAAGCATTTTAAAAAAATGTTATCCCTTGTGCAAAATGGGCCTGATTGAAAGCCAATGGAAATCAATGGGAACTTCCCCTTTGACTTAAGGGAACTTAGAATCAAGCCCTAAATCATTAATTTCATTGACCGAGCTGCACACTGGGAATAAAGCACTACCTGGAGGAGTTGATATATGGCTTTCTGATCCTGTTGCTGTGCCATTGTTTTCATTTAATGCCCTACCTTCAGCGACTTTATTTCTTTTCTCCATGGTGAGAGGAACAGGTTGATGCAGAGTAGCTCCAGAAACTCCAAAGCTTTGATGAGGTTTTTGAAAATATTGTCTCCTGGTTCTTTTTTCATCTGTAAACAATTCTCTGCAATGCTGTAGAAACTAAGCTTGCTAAATCTCTCTGCAGGGCAGGCACCAGACTCCAGGAAGTGTTTAGCTCTTGTTTTTATCGTTGTCTCGTTGCATATCAGAAGTTTTCCTTCCGACCACTTCGTGCCATAGTATGCAACGTAGTCCATTAAAATGTCTTGTTTGGCAGCTGCTGCTGCTCGAAGCTCCTTCATGGTTTGCAGGACTGCCCCAACGGCAGAGTACTCTTACAATAAATTTCCAGCCGGTTATGGAATTGTCAATGAGGAAGTTGCTATCTTATCTTTGTTGAGTCTTTTCTTCTGATCTGTTATTGGCTTCCCCAGGGCAATGCAAAGAATTAAATGGTCACATTGTGTGTCAGTCAGGGCTCAAGTTACAATGACTGCTCTGCTGGAATCAGGAAGTAAAAACACAAGTCCAAAGCAAAAGTGAAACCTACTTGCTGTGACTATTAACCCTTTGTGCCTACAGCTGCTTTTCCGTGATTGCTTACAATGATGGAATGCTCCTGGAAATGTAGAGATACAGTAAAATAAACTGATTTTAATGTCAGCATAAATAGCACAAGCACTAGGCTGCATTATTCATAATCCTATTTCATTGCAGCCCTCCCAGTGTTAAGATAAACTGCAGCCAGGGTTGCCAACTCTCCAGGATTGAAAGATTATTTGAATTAAAGACAATCATGTGATGAAATATCCAGGAATAAGTCCAACCACAACTGGCAACCTTACCTTACAGCAGTTGCAATTTTTTTCTTCTGACTGCTGTGCTATTCTACAATAGTCCAGACATACTAGAGGACTACAATTTGCAGCAGTGAGTCTGCAGCATTTGGAGCCAATGCTCACAATAGTGAAAACCGCAGTATTTTTTAAATAAGGGTTTACAATAAAAATGGTAAAGTTAGTGGAAAAAGATAAGCACTTGTAATATTAATCTTGGGAACCATTTCCACTTGTGAAGAAGTGTTCTTTGTAGAGGTCCAAAACATCCTCACTCCACTCTCACCCGCTGACCACTGCACTATTCATGTCAGTCTCTAGGATCAGACCCCCAAAACATAAGCGCAAATGAAGTGTCTTATTTGCAGTCTTTTTACAGGCCAAACTCCTGACAACTTTATTTGGTGCAGGATTGGATGGGCGGGTCAGGGTGCAAGTGGTCTGGTCAGTGTCATTAAAGCAGTCCACAGAATATTGAGTAGTCTCCAGCAGTTCTCTGTTACCTTTATTCATTTTATTTTTCATTCTTTAATGTTGTGAAAGCAGCTGTTGCATTAGGAAACCCCCCCCCCCCCCAACGAGAACATAAAAGAACCTAAGTGGTTTTGCCAATTGGGAAGAGGTATAATTAATTCAGATAGGTAGAACTAAATACTGTATCCAGGTACAAAATTCCATAGCAAGAGGCTGCTGGACCTGTCCCCAGCTGAATGGAAAAGTCTGATCATGGTCATGATTTTCATGCCAAGCTGGACTTTCATTTTACAGGATGTTCAGGGTTTCAGCCACAGAAGGGAAACTCTGCAACAGCTGCAGGTTCAAGACTGGAGGGTCTGAATGAAATAGGACTATGAATAGTGTAGCCTCTTCCCTGTGCTAGTTATTTTGACATTAAATTCAGTTTATTTTACTCTGCCCCTAAATTTCCAGGATTAGAAGGTGAGCAGCATCTTCCGGAGTCCCTTCTACTGTCTTCGGTGGGATAGGTTTGTCATCTGGATTTTGGATGCAACACTTGGAAGACTGGTTCAGATCTCGATCCAGACACTTTCAAATTCAGTGGTGTTTAATTTGGAAACTGGATTTGGGACTCTTGTCAGAGCTGTCTGTACCCATATGTAGAGTACTCAGTTGTGTAGGGCACCAAAAATTTGGGGCACCACTAAGGTTGCCAGGTGTCTGGTATTCTACCGGACAGTCCGGTTTTTGGGCATTCTCTCCAGTAAAAAAAAATTCAGAAAATACCAGATGTGTGCAATGTCCAGTATTTCCTGGATTTCTGGCTGGGCGCTAGCCAGAAGCCTGGCAGGGGTGGGAGGAGTGGCTGGGAGGCAGGGCGCGAGCGGCATTGGGAGCCTTGGCTGCATCTGATGTCTTGAGGAGGAGAAGCCCTGTCCCTGCTCCTGAGTGCGTGGTGGAGCCGCAGCCAGACTCACTCGCGCTTCTCTGGACAGTGCACGGGACTGACAGCGCCCCGGGATCTGCATGTGCCTGGGTCAGTCCCACCCCCTCCCCCCACTTCCTCTGACCAGCTTCAC